TTTTTTTTATTATTAAATTTACATATTTGTGCATCATCCGCACATCCATCCAATGTTACGGTCTGTACTAATGCTGTGTTGATGAAATTTGAAGAAGAAAATTTGCAACGAAAAAAATGAATAATTTTTTGGATTTTTGAAGAAAAACGAAAACTCACCACCACTACAATCATGAAATTTTATTGAATTTACAACAGCTATGATAATGGTCAGATGAATGGTCAACGACAGTAAAAAACCATAATTATTTCTGAACATTTTTTTTTCAAAATGATAATAAAACAGTCAAATAAATCAAATCAAACAGGTGTGTGCAAATAGGTAATCGATATCATACTTATTATATATCGATCAAATCAATCAAATTGATCAATCAAATTATCGATTGATCGATTGATTGATTGATTGATCGGATTGACACAAAAAAAAACTCATTTACTGCATTGTTATCAGCGAGATTTTTGAGATTTTCTTTTTTTTTGTTCTTTAAAGAAAATTTCAAATCTTGTGATTCAAAAAAAAAAAAATTTTAATTAAATTTTTAATCAATTTCCAGTCGATTGCAACCAAAATGTGCCACCAAAAAATCCAAACAACAAAATATTGTTTTGGCTGCTAAAAATAAATCCATTACAAAATCAGTGAAAAATCAGTGAAAAATTTCACTGATTTTTTTGTCAAAATACGAAGATAGAAAAAAAAACGAAAGAAAACGATTAAAGAATTTGAAATTCAACAAACAAACGAAAACAACAACAGAAACTTGAAATCAATAACTCGATCACCTTCGCTGAAAAAAAAAATAATAACGACAAAATGATGACCATGATGATCAAGGAATTTTTTAAATTAATTAATTTTTTATTTTAAGATTTTTTTCAGTGTTTTTGTTTTTCATTATTACAATTTTTCAGCCTTGATTGATTGATGATTGAGAATTGATGGAAACAAAGTTTTTTTTTATTTTTTCAAAAAATAAGAAATTTTTTTTGCTAAAAAATTTGCTAAAATTCAGGTTAAAATTCGGTTAATTTTTTTTTTGTTGCAACATTACATGTTGATCCATTTGCGATTGCGATTTTTTGATTGCGATTTTCCATTTCCCCCCCTAGAAGGGACTTTTATATTCAATATCATATGCAGCATTATTAAACATTCCTGTACGTTTAATATCATCAGTAGTTTCAATAAGAATTTGTCTACCTTGTNATTGATGGAAACAAAGTTTTTTATTATTTTTTCAAAATAAGAAAAATTTTCTGCTAAATTCTGTTAAAAATTCTGGTTAAAAATTCGGTTAATTTTTTTTTTTTGTAACATTACATGTTGATCCATTTGCGATTGCGATTTTTTGATTGCGATTTTCCATTTCCCCCCCTAGAAGGGACTTTTATATTCAATATCATATGCAGCATTATTAAACATTCCTGTACGTTTAATATCATCAGTAGTTTCAATAAGAATTTGTCTACCTTGTTTACTTTTATTCAAACGAAAAAAACGTAAACGTTCAATATACGAATGAATTTGATCACAACAATCACGTGATTCATTGAATAACCGAGCAGTAATGGATGGATGATTTTGTAAACGTTCAATTTGTTCTTGTTGTTTTCGTGCTCGGTTAATTTCACGATCAATCCATTGTGAACAGGTTTCAAATTCAGTTTCTTCAATCATTTTCATTGAATCTTTTATTAATTTTTTTAATTGTGTTTCTTGTTGGGACATTTTTTCTCGTTGATTGATTTGATTGAATTCTTGATTAATAAAATTTTGATTGATTGATCGATCGGCGGATTTTAATTTTGTTGATTTTGTTGAATTTTGTTGATTGATTGATTGATCGAAACAGACACTTGTTGAATATTCAAGTTAATGAAAATATTGTTTTGTTGAAAATTTATCAAAGTTTTTATATTCAAAAATTTCAAAATTTTAAAATTTCAAGTTATCAATGGGGTTATTTAGAAGCAAACAAATTAAAACAAGCAAACAGAAAATTTTTTTTGTCTATTTCATTTGGATGAAGGACAACAACAACTTGCAACAAACGATCGATTTCAGTGTGATCAGTGTTCAGTTGAAGAATTTCTTTCAAAATCTTGATTCAAATGTTTCAAACACACAAAAAAAAATTTCATTTTTCGATTGTAATGTTTTTTGGATTGTAAATGGCAAAGAAAAACATTAAGCCAACAAGCATTAAATAAATACAAAAAAAAAAAACTAGGTTGCATTCATGTGATGAGATGGAGAGTTTTTTTTCCATCATCATTGATTTTTGTTCTCCATATTCGAAAGATAAGAAAAAAAACCTGAAATGAAAATGAATCGATTGAGAGTATGGTTGGATGTTTTCTGCTTTTTGATGAGAGAAAATTGACGAAAAGACAAAAAAATTGATTGTCTTTCCCGAAAACGACGATCCAACCAAACTTAAAAATGAATATCAAGGATTTTTCAAGAAAAAAAAAAAGAGTCAAGACTTTTCGATGCAAAAACAAAACTGTGGGAATTCAAATCGATCAAAAAAGATTTGAAAAATTTAAATTTTTTTTTGTTTTTTGCAAATAAATTTCCATAATGAATAAACAAACAAACAAGCAAAATTGAATTAAGCAAGTTTTTTCCAATCCGTTCATCCAGTAAAGATTTTCGTGTTCAAATCAATTACATCAGTTTTGGTTTTTCCCAGGTGAAAAAAACACCAAAAATCAATAAATCGATCGATCGGTTAATCGATTGATTGATTTTTCAAAAAAACAAACAATTTTCACACATTCAAATCACGTTTTTTTTCATTTTTAATTAATCAAAATTAATTATTTATTTAATCAAATCTTAATAATGATATTATAAAGTGAATAGAGTTGAAAAAAAAACTAAAATCATAATTTTGATTCAAAATTTTGATTAATAGTGTTGTTTTTTTTCTGTGTGTGTGTGTGTGTTTGTAAATAAATTCGGAAATTTTATCATTGATCTTGGATCAAATATATGCTTGTTTTTTGTTGTTGTTGTTGTTGAAGAAATTAGATGATATTCTTTCATTTTTTTCCCCCAAATGTTTTTTCTTCAAATGACAATGAAAGATGTAAAAGAGAAAGATAGATAAAAAGAGAGAGTGACAAGGCCATCCAATTGTCTGTTCGAATCAATCGATAGATCGAAATT